ACAAAAACAAAAAACAAAAAGCAAAAAAAAACAAAACACCACCTAAATGCAAGATCTCTGTGAGTGAGATCCTAGTGGAAAGAATGGGCCATCAAAGAAAGAGGTGCCTTTCTCTGAAGGGAGGAGAGAACTTCCACTTTGACTATGACCTTGTCTAAGTTCGGAGTCAGCAAACTCAAAGGCTTCCATAGCCTTGGCAACTCATGGCAAGAGCCTAGGGTGATTACTGATGCCACAAACAAGAGTGTCAATTTGTTAAGTCAACAACAGGAGTCACTGTGCACTTACTCCTCATGTAGGATCTCTGTCCTTAATGTGTTGTATAATGTGAATTAATGCTATAACTAGTACTTAAAAAGTACTTTACACTTTGTGTTTCTGTGTGGGTGCAAACTGTTGAAATCTTTACTTAATTTATACTAAATTGATCTTCTGTATATAAAGATAATTGAAAATGAATCTTGATGTGAATGGAACGGGAGAGGGAGCGGGAGATGGGAAGGGTTGCGGGTGGGAAGGAAGTTATGGGGGGAAAGCCATTGTAAGAGCCGTACTTTGGAAATTTATATTTATTAAATAAAAGTTTAAACAAGTAATTAACATTTTTAAATACATTTTATAAAAAGCAGTATGTATAAACACATGTGTGAGTATGTGGGTGTAACTCACCTTGTTATAAGCAGCACAGTTTATAAGAAGAGCTGTACTAGAGCCTCAATAATTGTTTGTTGATGGATGGAGAAAGAAAATAGGCCAGAGTGGGTGTTTGATGTATTAGTTAAGATGCCTGTACCCTGTATCAGAGTGCCTGAATTTGAGTCCCAGTTCTCTCTTTATTCCTGCTTTCTAATAATGCAAACCTCGGGAAGTAGCAAGTGATGGCTCTAGTGGGTGGCTCCCTACCTCCCACATGGAAGACCTAGATTCAGTTCCAGATTCCTGGCTTTGGCCTTGCCCAGCCCCAGCTGTTTTGCAGACAACTGGGGAGTGAACTAGCAGATAGGAGAATCTTTCTCTCTCTCTCTCTCTCTCTCTCTCTCTCTCAAATACGTAGATAAATACAATTTTTTAAAAGAAAGAAGGCAAAAGAGAGAAGAGAAGAAAAGCAGAAGGGTTTTCATTGTCCTGTTCCCTAATGATAAAATTCTAGCATTTATGTTTCTGAATCAATTAGGTTCCTCTTGGAAACTCTAGAACTTTAAAGCCTTTTTCTACATGACTATACATAGGGTACAGTATTTTTGTAGGGTTACAATTCAGTGGAATAGTACTAAATACTTCAACTACAATGTATTGAGCTTCATTGTTTCATATTTGCAGTAACACAAAGGTTATTCACTGCTTTCTTGGAGAAGGGGCAGGCTTGCAGCAGAAGCCTAGTTAAAATCTTCTCCTAGGAAGACTTTGAAGAAAATTAAATGTTTGAGCCCCTTAAGGAATACAACCAAAAGACTGACTGACTAGAGCATTCATTTTTTTTTTTTTTGTCAGAGAGTGATAAATATGCAAAAGAATAGATTTTTACTCAGGGTCCATGGGGTGTCAGACAGTGACATTACTATCTCATATACCATCTCATGTACTGTTTGTAGAGATTAGGCACAAATTCCACTGCAGTTCACAGATGCTGAGACGGAGACTGAGCAGTTAGCCTAGCACAGGTTCTCACTACTCGTTAGTGGCAGAGCTAAAATTCCAACTCAGTTTCCTGTGTTCTGAAACACTAGGAATGGAGATGCAGTGAACTGTCCATCAAGTGACTGACTGTCTTTCAGTTTTCACCTTCGGATTTTGAACTGAATTATCTTCTTTCTTATACACCTCTGCTACAGAAGTGCCGAAGTAACGGGGGAACTATCACATCTACTGTTGCTATCTAAATAGCGATTCCATTTCTTCAAAAAGTGGAATTATGGTACAAAAACAATTTTCTACCCATGGATGTCAAACTTCCTGGCTAATTCTCCTTCCTGACTTACAATGGGGCTTTTTAATTTCTTCAGTAAAACTAGGTGCATGATTTGTGCTACCAAGCAATAGATGGGGCTCAATGGAAGGAAGCAAAATACTTGCATAATGAAAAGAAAAAATAGGGAGGGATGAAGTTTTATGGAAATAGGTAAGAACAAGAGAGACTAGGAAGTAGGACAAAAGGAAGAGCTTCTTTCAAGAGCGCGCACACACAGACAATCTACTGTGACCATGAGGAAAGTTTTCTTTGAGATTAGTGATCCCTATTTTTCTTTCTGTGAAGTCATTTCTTAGTTTGCAGGATCCCACCTCCATCTGTGCAATTGCTGTTCATCATTACATACTATCCTAGTGTTGAAAAACAAGACATTCGCCAGTTCAAATATTATTGACTCATTGATTGAATTCTTTTACTGAGTGCATGTTGTGATGAAAGCCCAGTCTTTTGTTGTTTTTAGAATACTTACTCAAATTGTACATGCATCTGTGTTATTCTCTCACTATCGTTTTTCAGTTTGCTATCAACAAGTACTAAATTTATGGTAGACCTATACAGTTTGCTACCAAAAAGTATTAAGGATATGGGGAAATGTTCAAGGTTTTCAGAAATATTAAGGTTATTAGGAAATTCATAACCATCAATCTTGCAGGGTCTTGTAAAAAATGAGATTGTCATTAACATACAAATATTTATTTGCCTTTTTTGATACCACAGATTTCATCTTACAGGTTTAGAAACAAACCATGTTCATGGACACATCTTTGACAAGTGACACTCATTGAGATCACTCCAAAAATAAGGAAAGAACCAACACTTTTGATGCAGATAGGCCAACTGCCTAACAATGTACAACCAGAAGGAAGGGTGATAAAGGAAGACTTGTTTGCTCTATCATTTAGACTTGCATACTAAGTACTAACCCTAAATTTTAATGAATAGTATAGCAAAAATAATGGTAACTAACATCTACTTACATATGACATATTGGGAAATTCCCTAAGTATTAGCTTTTTTACCTCCTTCAAAACAATTCTTTAAGGTCAGAGCTATTATTAACCTCATTTTACAGATGAGGAAGAGGAATGTAAGCTTCCTTGAGAACTTGCCCTAAACACCCCCTTGGCATCAGCCAACTTGCAGCTGGCACACCAGAGCTTCTGACTTCAAAGCTCTGTCAGTCTACTTTACTGATCCCCCAAGAAGTAGTGGAACCATCAGAGTCCTTCCAAGACAATATCTGAGTTACTTAGGACTGTCTTTTTACAATATTGGGGGGAGTGGTCAGGGAAAAGAAAGAAAATTACATGTAAGATCTTCATTGTATTTTTCACAGTTTGAACACATGGAGATACGGCTTCCTTATTTCATACTACCTTCTAAGTCAGCATCCAATTAATAAAAAAGTGAGCAAGTTTCCATCAGCCTCAGGCAGGGATGGGGCTGACAGGATGGATATCATCTTTCCATGTGACACGTGTGTTGACAAAGCCCTCATCTGGCTTTAGGAACACACCAAATCTCATAACTCTGAGTAGTGTTTTTTTTTTCTTTACAAATCTTGGCAAATGATTACTCACACTTGCTTAAGAAGTCAGCTTATGGACATTTTCATAAACATAAGTGTGTGTGTGTGTTTGTGTGTGTGTATAGACAGAAATCAATAATTGAAAGGCAAGTTCAAAATCCCACAAATATGCCTGTGGGTCCAATATTTTAAAAGTGCATGCAGTGTGGCTTCCAGGCATCTTACATCCCTTCTCTCTGAGGGAGAGCTTCACACAGTGGTGTCTCCCAGGGTACAGATTAAATAGATGCTGATAAGATCAACCATGGAACGAATGTTTATTCTGTCCTAAGCACTTGCCAATCTAAGCATTGCGCCAATCTGAAGCCAGGAGCCAGGAGCTTCCTCTGGGTCTTCCACACGGGTGCAGGGGCCCAAGGATTTGGGCCATCTTCCATGCCATAGCAGAGAGCTAGATTGGAAGTAGAGCAGCCTGGACTTGAACTGGCACCCTTATGAGAGACCGGCACTGCAGGTGGCAGCTTTACCCACTATGCCATGGCACTGGCCCCAAGAAACTACCTTTAATTCCATTTTCCACAAGCTTTTTGAAGTACATCAATTTTTTAAAAAACATCGACCTACAGCCAATTGCATAACTTTGGATCACTAATATCACTGCCATTTAATTATCTGAAGCAAACATCTACCCCTTATTCTACTGAAGACCAAAACCAACTTTCCTCAAAGTGAATCCTTTTTCCAAATTCCTTCAGAATTATATATTAATGATGAATCACTCCAAGAAAACACTGTAAAGACCACGTTGAACACTTTTCTGTCAAAAGTTCTGATGCTTACTCATATTTGGCAAAATGGGTCTTAATTAAAATGCTGAGATAGATAGAATCACATCCCCTAACCAGAAGTTACTTTTACTTTCCTGCCTTCCTGATTCTAAAAATATGAGTGTATGCCTAGGTCATAACATTCTTTTTTCTTTCTTTCATTTCTGCTTTTCTTTTCCTTTCTTACTTACATTATCTAACAGATATGAACTATAAGGTTCTCCCTTGTTACTAGGTAACTCTTATCTAAAAATTTTAATATAAAGCTTCAAGCTCTTTTTGTCCTACATGCTTAAATAGTTTATCTGAGGTCTACCTAAAAGAGGAAATTCCTGCCACAATAAGAAAGCAGAAAAATTGAAGTTCAGAGGGTTAGGTTTTTCCAGTCTTTATACCTGTTATTATGTGTACCTGGGCTTTCTCATTAATCACAGAAAATCAATAATACACACATTAATTCTTTGCAAATACTGTAGCTTTGGTTTCAAAGTACTGTGCTGCTTAGGTTCACATTCTACAGCTGCACATTTCACTACCTGATGGACTCACATTGTGCACAGACCTCAGACTTCAAACTCGGGAGGACAGTTGCTCAGAGAAATAGAATGAGACCCTTTCCTGAGTACCTTAAGATCAGAAACACAGTAAGTACAAACTCCAAGCATGATGGTCTCACCTGGGTCTGGCGGCACACAGGCACAGGAAAAGAAAGTGTTGTAGCCCACTTTGAAGTCAGAGTTGATAGGGTAGTAATCTGCCAGCTTGATCATCTTCTTGAAAGCATCGTAGATGAAGATGAAGCTAATCAGAGATGAGAAGCCCTCCTCCGTGAAACGGGTGAAGTACTGAACCAAGAAGCTGGCATCAGTGGCTACCAGAATTAGACACAGGAAGGCTGACCACAGGCCAATCCAAAGGCGAAACTCCAAGTAGTCAAAATTATGGTCCCTGGAAAGAACAAAGAAAGAAAGTTAGACTTCACCACGATGTAACTAACGAAGAACATAAAACTGACAAATGCCTGCTGGAATGACTGCTAACAAATACACAGACGATCATTCTATCCACTAGATGCAAAGACTGATTTATCAGAAAGTAGTAAGGGTTTAGTCTAATAATACTATTGCGCTACCATAAAGAATTAAGTTCAGAATTCTGAGAAAAGTACATCAAAGGTAGTCATATCATTCATAAGTGAAAAACTCATTCAAAAAATATGGTCACCATATTAACTAAGTCTACAAACTGATTGAAAGTATAACATTGGTGGCCAGTGTGCATTCAATAAACATGAGCATTACTGGTTAATAAAGACACTAATACAACATATCCTCTGTCCTCAAGTCATTGCAGTTCACTGAGGGAGACAAATGGATAAAAATAACCACATTATAAACTATGGAATTATAGTGTCGTAGAAGAAGGAGTAACTAGTTCTGGCTTGGGGGATAGATGCACTTGCAGAGAAAAACTCAAGGTGTACAAGAAACTTTCCAAACAGACCATGTAGAATCAAACTAGGAAGAAGAAAGAGTGGCTGACAAGTCCTGAGGCATGGTGCACAATGCCCACTGTGGCCAGAATGCCACCTACAAGAGTGGATAGGATGAGATATGGATCTGTTGTCAGATCAAGAGAGGTTGTCTGCTACCAGTTCTCATGAGTTGGCCACATGTATCTGCTGGAGTTGGATGTGAAGCCTTTTGGGGACCCCCTTTTCTCTGAATGTGCTTGTCCCACAGCAGACTTAGAATAGGCCACCTCCATTTAAGGAAACCAGGGTCTTTCAATTCCTTTCCCATCTCTTACATCTAGTTCAAGATTCACAGCTTGGAAAAGATGGGCCAAATGTATGAATCCTTTTAAACTTACATGGGGAGTACTTTTCAATGATTTTTTAAAAATACTTCACATTTCTTGTAAGAGACAAAGAAAGAAACCAAGGATTGTGCATGCTTGACATTCTAGAGCCTTGCTTTTAGGCAGTGGGTTTCTGATGACTGCTAGCAGTGTATGTATCTATTTATCTCTTAAAGAGGTAGAGAGATAGAAAGTAAAGATAGGCACTAGTTTACTCTCCAAGTGCCTGCAACAGCCAGGGCTGCCCAGGCCAAAGCTAGGACCTGGGAACTTAAGCCAGGCCCCTGATATGGGTGGCAAGAACCCAAGTACTTTAGCCATCCCTTGCTGCCTACCAGGGAGCACATTTACAGGAAGTTGGGATCAGAATGGAGCCAGCACTCAAACCCAGGCACTCTAATATGTGATGTGGCTCCCAAGTGGCATCTTAACCACTACACAAAATACCCATTCCTAGGGATATATTTTACTACTTTCTCAAAGGCATCATCCTTTCACTCTTACTAACACCAACCCAATCTGGGCCATCAGTAAGTCTCTGCCAGATGAGAATCTCCAGGGGGCAGTACTGTGGTGCAATGGATTAGGCAGCTGCTTGTGACACCAGAACTGCCTATGGGAGCACTAGTTCCAGTCCCAGCTGCTGTTTTTATATAGCTCCATAGTGATGTGCCTGGGAAAGATGGCCTAAGTACTTGGGCCTCCTCCACCCATGAAGGACCCGGACACCAACGTGGGAGACCAGGATGGAGCTCTTGGCTCCTTGCATGGGCCTGGCCCAATTCTGAATGTTGCAGTCATTTGAGCACTAAATCAGCAGATGGAAGATCTTTTTCTCTGTCTCTCCCTCTCTCTCTCTGTCACTCTGTCTTTCAGAGAAATAAAATAAGTCTTTAAGAAAAAAAAAAAAGAATGTGCATATCTTTGTTTATGCCTAGGCCTGCCTTACTCAAAGCCATTTTCTATATCATAGCAAAAATTACCTTTTAAAATATAAATTAGATACCTCAGCTTGAAATGTTCCAATGGGTTCTCACTGCCCCTAGAATAAAATTCAAAGTTTCTAACTGGCACAGTGTCTTCTGGCCTACAGAACATGCCCCATAAAGGCTTGCTGGATGAACAAATGCCGGCCTCTGTCTTAAGACTTGACTGAGAAAGATGCTGACAGTGACCTGTGAACTAAACACGTGCAACGAGATGACTGATCTTGTGTAAACTGAAAACTATATTCATGGAATATTGGAATTGAAACTCCCTTAGATGTTGTGGCAGCTATTTTTGTGTCAACTTGCCTGGACTACTACAGGTACATAGAAAGCTTACCATTTCATGTTTGAGTGCTTAACACTGAAATTCCTGGGTTTTGAGTAAAATAGGCTGCCCTTCCTAAGGCGGATGAGCCTCATCCATCCAGCTGAAGGCCTGTGCAGGCCAAAGGGTCTGGGAAGAAACACTTCTTCCGCAGGCTAACAGTGAACTTCATCGGCAAGCACAGCTCTTTCCGCTTCTACAGCAGACGGACTTCAGGCCCAAACTGAGGCACTGGCTCTTCTGGACCTCCAGCCTGCCAGACTGTTCTGCAGATTTTGGACTTGCCTGCTTCTACAGTCATGTGAGCCAAGTCTTCATAATAAATCTCTTTCTATATTATGCTTCTTATGGATTCTGTTTCTCTGGAAGAACTCTAATGCAAATACCAATTGTCAAATATGTCTCAATTTATAGATGACACCAAAGCCAATGGAAGTTGACTCATTTATCCAATCTCAAGGTTTTAATGGCAAAGCTGGACCAGAACTCACTCTCCTGATTCTTGGACTGGTCTTTTTAAAAATTACCCCATGGCGTCCTTGTATTACTTTTATTTGGCTCAAGACAGGGTAGGCATTAAAGTCACCAAAGTCTTTTGTCTATCTCTTCTCACCAAATAACATGAAATGGGATACACTGTCAAAGCAGAAAACTATTAATGCATCCTCTGTGGATTTTCTAGGATCTCTCTGAAGACAACTTTTCTGTTCTTTTCCAGTTCCTTTTACGTCTGGAACCCCACTGTTTAATCCTAGACATGTCTTTGGAAGGTAAGTAAACTTCAGGAAAAGAAATGAGTTTTAGGAATTTGGGTTAATTTAGTTTATCATACAGTGAGCCAGTGTCAAATAAGAGTAAAGAAACATAGTATTATTACTTCTGAGCCAGCAGACGTTTTTTCTGCAAGGTTTTAAGCAATGCCGTGTTTTGTTTCCCTAACAAGATGAAAGTTAAAGCAATGTGAGTTTAGTCTAAGAATATTAGTGGTTGTTATGGAACTGATTTTTATAATACAGAATGCGAAGCAAATCCAGTAACTAGCTAGTGGTTAGGTTGAAGGGAAAAATTGTATGTATAAACTTAAATTTTCTAACCTAAACTATATACCAAAATAGCTGCTCTAAAAGATATAAAAACTCCCAGAGTGGTCCAATAAGAATGACCCAAATAAAATCACTAAAACCAATGGCACTTCATTATGAAAGTGATGTTTATAGCAAAAAAGAAAAAAGAGGAATAAGAGACAAGAAATTTTCCAGTATGGATATCATCAGTAATGACCACACTGAGCATACAAAGCAACTTACCTATTTCTCCAAAAACCATAAACTATGCTGGAGACTACGTGGGCAAGACGAAGTAAAACAGTCTCCTTACTGAAAGACCTCTCAGATCCCTTGCTATGCTAACATGTAAAGTGAATGAGCTTGTCCCAGACTTCCTGGGATCACAGAAGCCTTTTTTTATGGAGCACCTAATGGGACAGGTAATTGATGAAACACACTTTGTGATTTGCACAACCATTAGCACACCTACTATAACACAAGTAAATGAGTCAGCACTGTGCATAAAATCATGTTTTCCTCAAACTCCTCAGTGATGGATTTAAAGCACAATTTCTCAAATGTTTCTCATTGCTTCAGGACTGTTTTCAAATAAACCACTTGGAAACTCTGTTATGTTACCAGTTACGATGAAGCAGAAGGCAAAGTGGGAAAGGAACTTTCTTAGTGAAAGGAAATAATCTCTATCTCACAATTATTTAAAGCAGACCAGAATGCAAACATTTTCTGTAGATTAAGGCTCCGATCACGTTTCATCCAATAAATCTTTCTGCAAAGGCTGTTCATGTTTGTTCCTGTTTATAGTACATGCTTGTTTAATCTTTCCACAAAGGCTTTCTTGTCTCACACAAGGTTTTCTTAAACATATAAAAACTGTTTGACTCTTTCTATAAACTGACATGAATAAAATTCTTTCCAATGTTTTTCTGAGAATTACGATGGAGGAGGGATTTGTGATAATGGCCTAGAGAAAACTCACAACATTCCTTAAAATTTGGAACTTCAAATTCTCAAAGGGCTCCTGCTGATGTTCTCAACCCTGTATCAAAAAAACTGGCTTTAAATCTTCATTCTCCTCCTCTATCTTGGGATCATTTCTGATGACACATATAGTTGCAAAGGCTAAATATGAGTCCTTGAAACTATGAATATTATGTAAGTAATGGCAGTTATAAAATCAAAATCCTATATATAACAATATAAGAATGCACTCTATCTAAGCCAGTAAAGAAAATTCTCTTAGAGGTATCAAGCACATTAGAAAGAGACCAGAATATCCTATTTGATTTTGATTCTATTTGCATGCTAATGCAACCACTTGAATAATTCACTTCATATCAATTTTCTCCTTCTTAAGACGATCTATTTCTAAAAGAAAATATTGATATCATAATTGTTATACCCATTAGGATTTCTAATGAATCCACGAAAGGTATGGGATTGGAGTCACAAAGCAGGAATTCAAGGCTTAGCTCACCAAGGACTGGTCCTGTAACACTGGGCAACCTATTGTACTCCACACCTGCTTTCTTGTCTATAAAATAGGATACATCCCTACCACGCAGGATGGCTACAAGAATTAAATAAGTTAGTACAAAGTAAGTGCTTAGAATATTTGGTACATGACCAGCACTCAATCAGTGTTAGTGATTATTCATTTAAGTCGCAAAAGCTCTTTAATTAAGAACCCTGGGATCTAGGGCTAGAAGCCATAGACCAAGTAAAGAGTGTCCAATCTCCTTCATTAACTTATCACGCGACCTTAAACTAAGTCATTTCATTTTGTTAGTGCATCAGTTGGGATCACGACTGGAAAAACATGGGATTCTGAGGAAAACTTAATACACAGGAATGTCAAAACATTCTTGAAAATGAAATTAAAGGATAACTCTATTTTTGGTCCCAAAATTTTGAAATCCATGCATAGTTTTTTTCATAATATGTGGTCCACGCATTTCTGAGGACCCCCTCACAGGCACAGGCATGGATTTCAAATCCCTTTTATTGCCACAAAATGAACTTAACCTTCTAATTCTATTTTTCCACGAACTTTGTGAAATATCTTGCTCAATGGGCTATTTATAGAAGTGCGAGTGACAAAGAAGAATGAGGCAGTGGGGGGGTGGGAGGGCTCTGCAAGAGCAGGAAGCCGTTACCAACCTAGGGCTTGAGAAGGTCAAGGAAGGAATAAAGTTGCCTGCAGAGCCTGGTAAGAGCTAGTGCCAGGGAGAGGAAGCCCCTGACAGGGGCTAAAGTCTTAGGAGATATGCACTGGCAGACTGCAGAACAGTGAGGTGGAGAGAAGCAGACACATTCAGACCCCTCTCCTTGTCTCTCTTCCTGTCCTCCTAGTGTTTCCTCTTCCCAGTAAGAAGCCAGTGGAGGAAAGAAGACTGGGTATTGCCATCTACTGGGTTTGGCCCTCGAGGGCACAAAGCAGGACACTAAGAGTAATTGGGGAAGGAGCAAAGAGAAAATAGAACATAGTGGCCCCGGTTGAGTCAGATGTAAAATGAGGGTCAGGCCATCCAATTGCTGAAAGTCCCTCCTTTCAACCTCCAACTCTTAACATTCCAGTGTTGACTAATTCTTGGATCTACCCAACTGCTATTCTGTGCTCTATCTAGAGGACGAATTCAGAATTGAACAATTCTGATGTAGAATGAGAAGTGTCCATACATACTTGCTGAAATTAAACAAAAGCCTCTCAAAAACTAGGACAGGTCCTGTGCTGCTCAAAATAGTGAGCGGTTGACCAGCAAAAAGGCAAAAGATGGCTCCCGAGACCGCGGTGCCCAGGAAACTCTCCAACACGCCCTGAAAAGAAAGAAAATACAGGTGTTAAATGAAATGCATCTGTTTTTTCCTTCCCATTTGTGATGCTACTAGGGAAATCAACTCCTATAAGTATGCTATTATGAGGGCCTTACCAAACATTATCAAGAAGGAGGAAGACATATACCATTACTTCAGGATTGGATTGCTCCAAAGAACTCCAGTGGTAAACTGCTGGCAAAGGTGGCTCTGATCCTCACAAAATATATTCACCAAAGCTTCTATCCACAAAGCAATTCTGTAACCTCACCATATGGGGGTGGAAGCGACTTGTGACTCTTTGTGGCCATCTTCAGCGTTTGTTTCAGCCTGATCTTACCTCAAAGGAGGCCCTCACATTGAGCTGTATTTATGCACAAAAGTCCTTTTTCCCTCTGTAGAGAAAAGCTTCTGAAGTGGAGATGGGAGCAGGAGGACAAAGTAGCTGTTTGGTTCTCCAGCCTGCAGTTTCACAACAACAGGCATCCACTGCACGTTCACTGTCCACTGTGAACTCAGAGCTATCACTGACTTCAGCCACTGCCGTCCACTGTCCACTGTGAACTCAGAGCTACCACTGACTTCAGCCACTGCACGTTCACTGTCCACTGTGAACTCAGAGCTACCACTGACGTCATCCACTGCACGTTCACTGTCCACTGTGAACTCAGAGCTACCACTGACTTCAGCCACTGCACGTTCACTGTCCACTGTGAACTCAGAGCTACCACTGACTTCAGCCACTGCACGTTCACTGTCCACTGTGAACTCAGAGCTACCACTGACTTCAGCCACTGCACGTTCACTGTCCACTGTGAACTCAGAGCTACCACTGAAGTCATCCACACGGGAAACGGAGGTTCAGGGACACAACAGCTAAGCTCTGGTGGCCACACCTTGTATTTACATACGTCCACAAGCATCACAGACTGACAAAGATACTTCCCTAATCACTTCATTCAGGACCAACACTCTTGGCGGAGACAAAGTAGCCTAGATCCTATATTTTTCATTGTTCCAAACTTCAGTGAGAAAGAAGCACATGTGTATTTGTGGAAGGGTCTTTTTATAAACTTAAAATATTTTTACCAAGATGTGGTTTTTTAATTGTATTTCAATGATAGAGACCATTTAGTCATATATGACTATAAATTTCAACTTGAAAACTTGAAAAATAAAACATTTTCAAGTGAACATGTAAAGAAATTCTGGGGCTTTATAAAACATAATCATATATTTAGTGGCAGACTAATTTATATGATAGAAGAAAATTATATGATCTCTGTGTATACACTAAAAATTATAGGAAGATTTCCCTTTTCAACTCAATAATAAATTACCTGCTCTGAAAAGTATGACTTTCATTAGATAAAATAAGCCTATTACTCTTAACCACCTCTGACTGGAGCAGAGTGAACCTCTGGGGAATCAAGACCCCCAGTCATTTCCTGTACCCCTTGCCTTCCAGTTAACACATCTACTTGTCAGCCTCACTAAACCCGTCTTTCCACTGCTCCAAAAGTTCTCCAGCAACTTCTCATTCATTTATTTTCAGAGATAATATGCATGAAACGATTATGAAGAAATTGTAATATCAATTTAGAAGACTTAAAACACTAAGTTCCATCCTTATAGAAAAAGCAATCCTAAGAGACCCTGACTTCTATAATTACTCAAAGTATTTCTGTGCAGTGCTTCAAAGCCAGTGACATTCTTCTTAAAATGACACTGGCACAGCACCTCCTCCTAGTTTAAGGGTAGAGTTCAATCCAGAAACAGATGAAAATACTTGAGAGCAGAACTAGTTGATAAAGCAATTGGGGTAAGAGTGAGCAAAACACAAGGGTTGGTGAATTGAGAATAAAGTAAACGTGCTCTAAATAATCTAGAACAAATCCTGCTCATGGAGAAGTCTAGGTTTGAAGGCTGGCTCCCAGGAGGGCCTGCTAAGGTGCCCCACTTGGGTGGATAACGTATGACTACAGGGTGCCATCTCAAGTAGCCAGTTCTTTCTTCCTCCTAGGAAGAGACGAAAGTAGCAAAAAATGCTGGCACACTCAAGATGCATTCATGCAGAGAGGACAGAAAAGGATTCCTCTCTGCACAGCAAATACATTTGCCTCGATTTATTACCTATTTGAATGCTGAGATTTAAGGGGCTTAAATGTTATGATTAAACCCACATAAAATGCAGCACAACAAGTCTTTGCTGTATGTGGCTGCCAGCCACACCCCACCTCTGGCAAAGGCAAAAGGTGTGCCTTAGGCTACCATTCTGTTGGACATGTAGTTTTTCACTCCCTTTGCACAATAGGCTTTTTATGTCATTATCATTTTATTTTTTTATGACTTAGAGTATGTGTAATGTCCTTCCGTGTGGCAGGACAAGCCACACTCTGGGTGCACATGATAGGGGAAGATACACGGCGTCTGTCTTTACAGAGCTCTGAGAAATGCCTCTTGTTCATCACTACTGCAGGATCAGAACATAGCACAGACTGGGTGTAAGACAGACCATAAAGCAAGAAAGGAGGGACACACAAGCTCCAGCGTGCTTGACTTGATTTGACATAGCCATTAATCTCTGTGAAGGCACAAACAGGGTCTCTCAGTGTCCCCAATGTCTCTTTTTCTCTCAACATGCTCTCTGCCATCCTCCCACATGGTCTGAGGCACTCAGTAAATACAAAAGGAACTGAGGCAACGTGTCCAAATGACACCCTAGGTTCCACTTATCAAAGGTCAACAACCGTTCTTGATCATTCAGTAAAGATAGCAACCAATTTCTTCCAGAAAATGGCTTTGATTTATGGAAGCCATGTGACCGTTAAAAGGCAGATTATTTTTATTTCAGTACGTGAACCTTTGGTAAGTGCTACAGTTTCCATTCTGTTGCTGACAATTTTGAAACAGAGACAGGTGATTTATTATACACATTGCACTGGAAACTTGCTTAAACTCAGATGCTTCCAGCATTTCTAAGAAAAGAACTATTCTCACTATATTTTGGCATGTTCCTGTTCACAATACAGAAAATGTTTTTTAAAAAAAATCTCATGCAACAACTTTAACTGTAAATAGAGTTTAAAGCAATTTATAGGGTGAACTAGCAGAAACCTCTTTTCTGAATTATATTAAATGTTCACCAATATAAAAAAAGGAAAAAAAGTGTTGTATATATTTTTGATAGCCATAACGCACGGAGACGAATCTCATCTCTCAGTAAAAACTCCCCAGCAAGCCACCAGAATGCAAGTGAGTGAGCCCTGAATGTAGTGGAATCAGGTCCCACAAAGCGGCATTTTGACTGGGCTTGCATTTTACTTTGCTGCTCATGGGGTGACATGACTAGAGAAGAGTGAAAAGAGCAAATCCCTGGCACTCTGACAATCCCAGGTCTGGTCTCTCTTTTACCACCAGAGAGCGGATGGCCTTAGGAATATCACTTCACCTCTGTCAAGTTTACTTTCTTTGTGTAGGAGAGAAAATCAAGATGACATAGTAGAGCAATGGATTCTTGAGTCAGACAAACCCATGATGACAGAGACTGTGTCACTTCCTCCATCAATGACTTTGAACAAGTTCCTTAACCTTTCTATGCCTAGTAAAGTCAGGGCACACGTTTGATCAGGTAACATATCTGAAGTGCTTGATAGTTTGATTGACAAATCTATGACCATATATGTGGTTAAATATATAATATAAAATTATAACCAGATATATTACATATCTAATATATATATATATAAATATATATATATATATATATATATAATGCACTTATTTAAATAGAAATTGAAGAGGTTGAGGTTCTCTAAACTCTGTTCCCTGGTGGAATCCCCAATACCTGAGCTGAAATCTGAGCTCCACTACTTACCATCTGGGTCACCTCTCCGAGTACTCATTCTCTTTTCTGTATGATCAATGGCTACTTCACAGGATAATTATTTGGATTAAATGAAACAATAACTCACACAGGGCTAAGAATAAAAGCTCAGCACAAAGCAATGACACAGACAATGCTGATTTTCTCCTGTCCTTAGATCCCTCTCAGCCCCTTCCTCCCCAGCCTGTCTCGGTCATTGGTCATTTCTCTTTCTTTCAAGACAGGAAGGAGAAGGAGACAATCAAAATGAGTGGCATGGAATGGAAAGATGATCAGTTCTCAGAGAAAAGGAGGGGAAAAGGCTCTGCAGATACTCGTGTTTCCACAGCAAATTCTTAACCAACAAGGGGCCTCAGAGGGCAACATGGAGGCCCCCAAAGGCTGTTCCTTTTCCTTCTTTGTGTTACTAAATATGAGGAACCTGATTCTAAACAAAATTGTTTGTTTCACTTTATAGCAGTAGAGTTACAATCCACATCTCAAACAATTTTTTAATCTTTTTATCTACTTGCAAGATGGATACAAAATTAAAACTAAAGATGACCCTTGTTTTCTGAAACCACCAAGAAAATCAGGACAAGGCTCACAATAATAAAATCTGGCATGAAAAAAATCAGACCATAGGAACAAGAGTCTAAAAAGAATAAAATAAAACAAAACGCAACCACGATTTGTAACACCAGTCTCTTGTGTTTTGGAGCTACTTGTGACAAGGGACTGAAGGACCACCATTTCCTTCCATGCTCATGCAAAGCAAGCACATTCAAGAGGATAAACTGTCCACTGAGGACTTTGACTTATTGCAATTTACTATCTTCATATAACGCTAAAGAATGACTTCTGTTCTTTTATGTCCTTTTTATCAAGGACTTTACTGTTTGGATTAATAAATTCAACCCTGTTTTGGGAGGCTGGATGACAATAATAGAAGGAAAATAAAGGCTAAGCAGAAGAGTGACTCAATAGCACAGGAGAACACAAGATTTTCTACTTCTTTGACAATAAAACTTGAGATAATAAAATATTTCAGTGGCATTCAATGAGAAAGCATTCACCAACATTTTTGTTATGTTGCAGGCTTTAAATATTTTATCTGTTTCTAACCATAAAAAAGAAA